TCTCAACCTGATCGATTGTGTGTGATCTTTTTTTGGTTAGCATATTAACACTTTTTGCAACATCAGCTTACTTGAGTTGTTCTTTCTTTGCCAGGATAGAACCAATGGTCGACTTATTTTTCCCATACATCCTGGCAAGCTCAACAAGTCTCACACCACTCTCATACTTCTGTATTATTTCCTTCTTCACATCTATGGTGTTTCTCACTTTCTTTACCACAGGGGTACCACTAGCAAGTTTCTTTGGGCCCACGGTGGCTTATTTCACAGTCCCACAAGTGCTAAACACAATGAAATAATCATAAAATGTTTGAATGAGAGTGCATTATAGTGTTCACTCAATCATCAACAAAACCAGACTGGCTAACGGTGACTGCGCGGGGACGCAGACAGAGTGGGCTGCTGGACAGGTTCGGTACCCGGCAGTTCAAAAACAGGAGTGAGTTCAATAATAGGGACAAAGTTGGTTCGAAAAAAGCATTCGATTTTCAAAGAGTTCGATAAGTGATACGTTCGAAATTTGAGGTTCCACTGTAAAGATGAATGCATTAATGCCGCCCAATATTTTGGAGGCCATTGCATCACCTTTGCCTGATTTTTGAATGCCTCAAAAAATGAATCTACATTATCTTCGGTAAATTTAAGTATTAAAGAGGCTGCTTTACTAATCTCGAAAGAGGGCATCGTATGTATATTACTTGATTCTTTTTTCTTTCTCGGTGCTTCCCGTACATAAAGCAAAGACTTGCGTTCAAAATTCTCCCTTTTTAGTTTTATCTGAGCTTCTACATAGGAGGTTTGAAATGACAAAATACGCTCCAGACGTTCAAAATTCTCCTTTGATTGAATAGTAGTCAAAAGAGCTAAAGAGATTTGTCGAAGTGGAACCTGTTCATGATCCAATAGGACTTTCTCTTCTCCCATTTCTAGAACACCAGTAAAAGGTTTACCTGGAACTGTTTCCGTAGCCTGATGGTCTTCTGTTCCCCATTTAGTCCTCGGGGAGGGAATTGGAGTTGTTGTAGCAGCAGCGTCTTCCCGAGAATTGGGAACTTGATATTGTCCATCGTCTCCTGTAGGGGTTGTTAGCAGCGTCGTAGTTCCTGCCTCGGGTGTCTGTAGTAAAGAATTCAAAAGACCAGGAATATCTCTTTCTCTGTTCTCATTCTCTGGATCCTGCTCATCTGGAAAGAGGACATCCTGTATCATATATCTGTCTGAGCAGTAAAATGTCTGTCGTATTTTATGCCCAAGCTTCATGCTAGTTGCCAACAGGACTGAAGCTTCAAACTCTGTAATCTCTCCCTTGTTATGTCTTCTAACCACTCTGCCATTTCTGTATTCATTTTAAATCACATTCAGTAGTATGCTCCCGGACACAGGCCCCCACTTGTTACGCTCCAAGTTTTATTTCAGCCCAGATAGTTTTCTTCTGGTTAGAGCATAACAACATTGGTCAGAGAGGTTGGGGTATCAATAATAATCCTCGGGAAATCTTGTTTTAATGAAGTATATATATATGTATAATACAACATAAGTCCTGTTTAAGGGCAATGTGTGGTGTAAATATTATGCAGAAAATTCGGAGTGTGGAAATTAGGAAAAGGTGTGGAGTTAATAAAAGTATTAGTCAGAGGGCAGAAGAGGGGTTGTTGAGGTGGTTTGGTCATTTAGAGAGAATGGATCAAAGTAGAATGACATGGAAAGCATATAAATCTATAGGGGAAGGAAGGCGGGGTAGGGGTCGTCCTCGAAAGGGTTGGAGAGAGGGGGTAAAGGAGGTTTTGTGGGCAAGGGGCTTGGACTTCCAGCAAGCGTGTGTGAGCGTGTTAGATAGGAGTGAATGGAGACGAATGGTACTTGGGACCTGACGATTTGTTGGAGTGTGAGCAGGGTAATATTTGGTGAAGGGATTCAGGGAAACCGGTTATTTTCATATAGTCGGACTTGAGTCCTGGAAATGGGAAGTACAATGCCTGCACTTTAAAGAAGGGGTTTGGGATATTGGCAGTTTGGAGGGATATGTTGTGTATCTTTATATGTGTATGCTTCTAAACTGTTGTATTCTGAGCACCTCTGCAAAAACAGTGATAATGTGCGAGTGTGGTGAAAGTGTTGAATGATGATGAAAGTATTTTCTTTTTGGGGATTTTCTTTCTTTTTTGGGTCACCCTGCCTCGGTGGGAGACGGCCGACTTGTTAAAAAAAAAAAAATATATATATATATATATGCCTTTTAAAACAAAAGGTTAGGATAAGACCATGGACATAACATATATACAGAGAATATTTTAGAGTATAACATCTAATTTCCAATTTGGGAGCAGTCAGAATATTCTAACAACAGAATAAGTCCAGGCTGGATAATCGACTATCGCCAGTTTACCAGAGAGGAGCAGGAGAGTTCTCGTTGGCTGCTAGTTTCTCACTGCTCGTCCCTCAACCTTAAGCATACAGGTCAGGTGGGTCACATATCGTGACTCACCAACACTCAGTAGAGCATTTGAACAAAAGGGGGGAGGGAGGATATAACCATCGAATACCACACCTTAACTGTACACCGGTACACAGACTGGTAGGTACGTTACTATCCCTTTAATTTATCTTGGCCACGTTACATAAATAATAATAATACACCCTCCTGGCCCTATATCACTCACTCATTTACCCCTATCTCACCTATGGAATTTGTGCATGGGGCTCAACAACAATAAATCATCTCAGACCATTAATTACCCAACGAAAGGCTGCAGTCAGAATGATAACAAATTTCCACTACAGGCAGCACTCTCACCAATATTCAAAACTCTAAACTTACTCACCATACAAAACATCCATACTTATTATTGTGCCTACTACATACATAGAACACTAAACTCGGATATAAACCCTCCCCTCAAACTTCTCCTTACCAACCTCAACAGAACACATGACCATAACACAAAGCACAGATCACTCTTTGATGTTCCCTATGTCCATCTCACACTATGTAAAAAGTCAATTCACATTAAAGGCCCAAAAATCTGGAATTCATTACCTGTGAATATAAAAGAAATACTGTCTGTTTATTAGTTCAAGACTCTTCTTAAAAACCACTTACTCATCCACAACTAAATAAATACTAAATAACTGAATCTCATAAATGTATAACCTGTGACTCTATCAAACTGTTTTTTTTTTTAACCCTTTGAGGGTCCAGAGGCCCTCTCCCAAACTCGTTCTCAGGGTCGAAAAATTTTCTATAAAAAAAAGGAAATACATTATTTTTTCTTATGAAATGATAGAGAATCTTCTTCTGATCACAATGACACCAAAAGTATGAAATTTGATGAAAAACTTATGGAATTATGCTCTTACAAAATTAGCAGTCTGAAAGTTGGCGATTTCGCCCACTTTGGGCCCTGTTTTCGGCCAATTCCAATGTTGCAGTTGACAAAAATCATAGCTATTTCCCTAGAACTCCATTTGTTCTATCAATTGAGTACAAGAATCCACCCATTTACAGATTTCAACTACCCAATAAAGTGGTCAGAAATTGGCAATTTGGGCAATTTCACAACAATTTCAAAAGATGCCAGTTTCAAAATAGGGTTCAGAATAAAAAAGACAGACGTTCATGGCACTAAAATAACATTTTGTGTGTTCATTAGTCATGTCTCTAGGCCCCTCTTACATTACTTTTGCTTTCCATTTTGAATTTTGATTCTCACAGAAAATAGAAAGTTTTCTGTTATGTATACTACTGCATCACTGTAAAAATGGTATAAATGATATCAGCGCACTTATGAGAGAATAGTAGACTCACCAGTTGACGTGTATTGGACGCGTGGCTTGATTTGTTTACTCTGGAATATTGGCAAAAATCGATAATTTTCGCTACTTTAAGCTCACTTTCAGGGTACTTGTCATTGTGAAACCAATCAAAATCATCTCAGTTTCTGTAATATATCTTCCATTTTATCAAATGAGACCAAAGAAACGAGAATTCAACCATAAATACCGTACGAAAATTCACTAGAAAGTCGCTGTTTTAAAACAAAAACGCAATCAAAGTTATTTTTTTCTCATTATGCACAGCGTGCTTCAGGATTTTTTTTATATTGCACACACTGACCACACAGACCCATTCTTTCATATGTAGGCCTGCCAGCTTTCTTCCACCAGATTTGAAGGCACTGGAATTTAGGCGTACAAGTACTTGACCGACCCTGGCTGCAATGATGTACTTGTACGTGACCGACCCTCAAAGGGTTAACTGCATTACCTAATAGAATATGTATTCCATTCTCTTGAGTGCACAGTAATGCATCTAATGACCATATGACCTGTTTCTGCACTACAAATCATTGATTTTACTCGATCTGATTCAATTATATTATACATTGTTATGCTACAAATTTGTATAACTTTAATGCTTCTTATTTGAAATATTCATATGTACTTCATGTTGTAATTTGTTTATTGTAATTTTTACCACTGAATATATCATTGCTTAGTTAATCTTAAGTTAATTTTAAGCCTGCCCATAATGCTCTGCATACAAGGAGCTTTTGGCATGTACACCCAGTCACTATATTTCTTTGTACAACTATGTATCATGTCCAAATAAATAAATACAATGATGTTCATTTCCAATTTATCTATTAAAGGAAACGACCACAATGTAATATTAAAGAAAGGTTAACAGTAAGGGCATGACAATTACTAAAGTTAGCTAGCTAAAAAATTTATAATAAGATTTAAAGTAGTGAGGTAGCACGAAACAAATAACAGTGTTACAATTAGTACAGTTTACATTGATACAACAGTACAATTTTAAGCATGTAATAATGTTTTAAATTGATTAAGTGATAATAAATTTTTGGTGATTTTTTTTGAGTCATTTCGTACTGGTTGAATGATTTAGCATAGTGTTGGTATGGTTAATTTTGGGAGAAGAGATGATTTTTAAGTATAGTCCTATTATTGTACATTGTTATTTTACACTAATTCTCTTGTAGGTGTGTGTTGGAGTGGTGCGCCAGATACACCTTCGTGACACCAGACGGATGTTCTGTCCAGAAGGTCATTGGCTTAGTTCTCGTGTATCATTACCTCTAGGTAACTGCCAAACAGCGCCGTTTGTTCCACGCACTAGCCGGAGACAGAGGCGATTGTTCATGCCTCAGAGATGGCTTACAAGAGATGAACTAGGTAAGACTTGGCCATAGCAAGAATTATAGTACAGCCTCTCTTCACTTAGCTACATACTCGTTTATTCATGCCTTGGACTTACGACAGGCAGTCTGACCAGTATTTATACCTAAATAATGTATATTAGAGCTGATTTCCTCTATTCTGTTTATGTCATTATACAGTACACTACTGTATTAACATTTAAAAATATACCAGAAATGTTATAAATGGTGCAAAGGTGACATTAAAACAATATCAGAGATGGTTGACACAGACCCACTACCATTATAGTGTGCTCCTCATTTAGCGACAAATTCATTTAACAGTGTGGTCTTAGGAACGGAACTCTGTTGTTACGTGAGGAGAGGCTGTATTACAGTATTTCAGATAAGAACTTCGTATTCCAAATTTTGTCTTTTGATATTTAACCCTTTGACTGTTTCGGCCGTATATATATGTCTTACGAAGTACCGTGTTTAACGTACATATACTCATAAATTCTAGTGGCTTCAAATCAAGCAGGAGAAAGCTGGTAGGCCCACATGTGAGAGAATGGGTCTGTGTGGTCAGTGTGCACCATATAATAAAAATCCTGGAGCACGTAGTGCATAATGAGAAAAAAAAACTCTAACCATTTTTTATTAATTAAAATGCCAAATTTGTGGTCTATTTTCATATAGTATTTATGGTTGTATTCTCGTTTTCTTGGTCTCATTTGATAGAATGGAAAACATATTATAGAAATAGGGGTGATTTTGATTGGTTTTACTATAAAAAGAACCTTGAAATGGAGCTCAAAGTAGGGGAAATGTTTGATTTTTGCCGATGTTCAAAAGTAAACAAATGATGTCATTGTCCAATAAATGTCCAACTAGCCATTCTAATATGCAGTCATGAATGGGTTGACATTATTTGTACAATTATTACAATATTGCAGTAGTCTGCATAACAGTAAATCTTCTATTTTTTGTTTGAATAAAAATTCAAAATAGAAAGCAAGAGTAATATCAGAGAGGCCTGGAGACATGACTGATGAACAAAGAAAATGTTATTTTAGAGCCAGGAATGTCTGCATTGTTCATTCTGGACCTTATTTTGAAATTGTCATATTTTTTTATTTTCGTGAAATTGGCCAAATTGCAAATTTCTGACCACGTTATTGGCTAGTTGAAATCAGTAAATGGGGAGTTTCTTGTACTCAGTCGATAGAAAAAAAATGGAGTTCTAAAGAAACAGCTATGAGTTTGATCGACTGGAACAATGGAATTAGCCGAAAACAGGGATCAAAGTGGGCAAAATCGCCGATTTGTAAATATCGCCGAGGTCGCTAACTTCGCGAGAGTGTAATTCCATCAGTTTTCAATCAAATTTCCTTTTTTTGGTGTCATTACAATCGGGAAAATATTCTATCATTTCATAAGAAAAATCATTTTTTTTTTTTTTTTTTTTTTTTTTTTTTTAAATTTTGTGACACCAGGAGACACCTCAGGATTGGGGGTTGCCAACGTACTAGTATGGCTTATGCACCAGGGTTATTGATGTATGCGTAAATTCTAGCGCCTTCAAATCTAGCGAGAGAAAGCTGGTAGGCCTTCACATGAAAGAATGGATCTATGTGGTCAGTGTGCACTGTATAAAAAAAAAATCCTGCAGCACACAGTGCATAATGAGAAAAAAACTTTTACCATGTTTTTGGTTTAATACAGCAACTTTGCACCGTATTTTCATATGGTATTTATGGTTGTTTTCTAGTTTTCTTGGTCTTATTTTATAGAATGGAAGACATATTACAGAAATTGAGATGATTTTGATTGGGTTCACAATGAAAAGTACCTTGAAATTGAGCTCAAAGTAGCAGAAATGTTCGATTTTTTGCCAAAGTTCAAAAGTAAACAAATCATGCCACGTGTCCAATACACATCAACTGGTGAGTCTAATATTGTTTCACAAGTGCGCTGATATTATTTATACCATTTCTACACTAACGTAGTAGTCTGCATAACAGGAAATCTTCTGTTTTTTGTGAGAATAAAAATTCAAAGTGGAAAGCACAAGAAATGTAAGAGGGGCCTGGGGACGTGACTAATGAACAGAGGAAGTGTTAATTTAGTGCCAGGAATGTCTGTCTTGTTTATTCTGGACCCTATTTGGAAATTGGCATCTTTTGAATTTTGTGTGAAATTGGCAAAATTGCTAATTTCTGACCACTTTATTGGATTGTTTAAATCGGTAAATGGGTGGTTTCTTGTTCTCATTCGATAGAAAAAATGGAGTTCTAGCAAAATAGTTATGATTTTTGTCGACTAGTACACTGGAATTGGCCAAAAATAGGGCTCAAAGTGGGCGAAATCGCCGATGCGTAATCATCGTCGAGACTGCTAACTTTGCGAGAGCATAATTCCGTAAGTTTTCCATCAAATTTCATACTTTTTGAGTCATTATGATCAGGAAAAGATTCTCTATCTTTTCATAAGAAAAAAATAATTTTTTTTTTTTCCGAAAAATTTTCGACCCTGAGAACAAGTTTAGGAGAGGGCCACTCGACCCTGAAAGGGTTAAATGGAAAATTTATGCACTGCTGTATATTCTCTTTTGGCTGCAGATTTATTTTTTCATGTTCACTTGCATATACACTTTTATTATTATTATTATTATTTGATATTTGGTTGTAAAATTTTGTTAAATGTAGAATAAAGAATTTTATATAAATTGGCCACTCCGGCCTGTTAAATAACTTATTCATAACTAAGCAATAAAATATGACATAGCAAGATACCAAAGAACTTGAGAAGTAATGCAGATATGTGTATTTGTCTACTTGTCATTGTTTCCATAAATGAATTTCTATGCACTTTCAGGCTACAGTACTTCACACGATGTTTTAGCAAGGGTCACAGATGGCAACTAATATTAGGTTATGTGTTTAACAATTTGAAGTTGCAGACTTATGCTTATGCTGTTCTGTTTTAAAGATTATAATTTCTCAAGATTTCTTTTTTTCAGTTTTCATTGATGGTAGCATTTACAGTAGGGCCCCTCTTTACAGCATTCGGCTAATACGGACATTTCAACTTAGGACCAAAACTCACTATGTGGCTCCCTTACCTGACTTTCTAATAAGGTCACCATGCACTACCCAGTTTGTTTACATTCTCTGTGAGCACATCTCTCTGTTATGTCTGGAAACTCTCCAAAATTTCAAGTGTTTTAAAGTTATTTCATATTTTATATATAGTACTCTGATAATTATACATACTTATCCTAGGTAGTAGGTTGGTAGACAGCAACCATCCAGGGAGGTACTACTGTCCTGCCAAGTGAGTGTAAAACGAAAGCCTGTAATTGTTTTACATGATGGTAGGATTGCTGGTGTCCTTTTCTCTGTCTCGTAAACATGCAAGATTTCAGGTACGTCTTGCTACTTCTACTTACACTTAGGTCACACTACACATACATGTTTTTTTTTTTTTTTTTTTTTTTTCAACAAGTCGGCCGTCTCCCACCGAGGCAGGGTGACCCAAAAAAGAAAGAAAATCCCCAAAAAGAAAATACTTTCATCATCATTCAACACTTTCACCACACACGCACATTATCACTGTTTTTGCAGAGGTGCTCAGAATACAACAGTCTAGAAGCATACACATATAAAGATACACAACATATCCCTCCAAACTGCCAATATCCCAAACCCCTCCTTTAAAGTGCAGGCATTGTACTTCCCATTTCCAGGACTCAAGTCCGACTATATGAAAATAACCGTTTCCCTGAATCCCTTCACTAAATATTACCCTGCTCACACTCCAACAGATCGTCAGGTCCCAAGTACCATTCGTCTCCATTCACTCCTATCTAACACGCTCACGCACGCTTGCTGGAAGTCCAAGCCCCTTACCCACAAAACCTCCTTTACCCCCTCTCTCCAACCCTTTCGAGGACGACCCCTACCCCGCCTTCCTTCCCCTATAGATTTATATGCTTTCCATGTCATTCTACTTTGATCCATTCTCTCTAAATGACCAAACCACCTCAACAACCCCTCTTCTGCCCTCTGACTAATACTTTTATTAACTCCACACCTTCTCCTAATTTCCACACTCCGAATTTTCTGCATAATATTTACACCACACATATATATATATACACACACCCCTCTGGGTTTTCTGCTATTTTCTTTCTAGTTCTTGTTCTTGTTTATTTCCTCTTATCTCCATGGGGAAGTGGAACGGAATTCTTCCTCCGTAAGCCATGCGTGTTGTAAGAGGCGACTAAAATGCCAGGAGCAAGGGGCTAGTAACCCATTCTCCTGTATATGTTACTAAATGTAAAAAGAGAAACATTTGTTTTTCTTTTTGGGCCATCCCGCCTCGGTGGGAAGAATTATACTTATGTGTACCTATACCTAAATAAACTTGCACACTGCTGGAGTGCAGGTACACATTAAAATCACTAAGAGTGTCTTATTAGTCTTGAAGATGCCATATTAATAATAATAATGCAATAATAATCACTTTGAGGTGCATTGAATGTTGTATATTATGTTAATACAGGTCCATCATCACAAATCCAGTACCATTCGGACCTGTACTGTGCCTGATTACAGAGTGGTTAGGTTAGAATACAGTGAACCCTCAGTTAACGCCTGCATTGGATAACACCAAAATCGGATAACACCTAAAAACTTGGTTAGGAGCTTTCGTCCCGAACGTGTCGGCACGGCACCCTGAGTGGGCCCGGCCACTCACTCCGTGTACCAGCCAGTGTGCCATTGTTTACAATGCCAGTGAGGATAAGAAACACATATAATTTAAGAAAAAGTTTGTAGAAAAATACGAAAGTGGTTGTGGTAGTGATGGTGGTAGAGGGTGGTAGCAGTTGTGATGGTGATAGAGGGTGGTAGTGGTGGTGGTGGTGGTACAGGGTGGTAGTGATGTTGGTAGAGGGTGGTAGTGATGGTGGTACAGGGTGGTAGTGATGGTGGTACAGGGTGGTAGTGATGGTGGTACAGGGTGGTGGTACAG